GCACACAAACATACACGTGTGAGAAGACATGCACACAAAAAATTACGTGCTGTGAGTTACAGGTAAAATACAGACTAGAAGAGTAAATTTACCTACTATGTCAGAGCAGCTTGAAGAAATAAATACAGAAGCCCCACAACTACAGAATCACACACAGGGTGTTCACTTGCCTTTTGACGGGCTATTCAAATTATACCCTTCCCAGGAAGCCTTTCCTGTTATTTCTGAAGTATCCTCTCCTTCACTGGCTTTTTAAAGACTTATCTATCTCTATTACAGTATCTGCTACTGTGTCTCACTGTCCTGTCCCCTTTCTGGAGCACGAAAGTCTGTGCATCTGAGGCTGAGATTCATCCTATTATTTATGGTATGTAGTTAACCCTTTGTGTATCTGTGGGTTCCACATTCATGCCTTCACCAAACATTGCCTTTAGATTTCAAGTTGCATTTGCACTGAGCATATACAGTTGATTTTCTAACCATTGTTCCCTAAACAACACAGTAAGACAACTATTTGCACAGCATTTACACAGTATTTGGAATTACAAGTAATCTAGAGATGGTTTTAAGTATAAGGGATAGTGCGTATAGGTTATATGCAAATTGGTCATTTTGTATAAGGGATTTGAGTATTCTCAGACCTGAAACCAATTCCACACAGATACCAAGGGACAATCGTATTTCGTGTGGCATTGTTCTCCGCCTTCTTTCCGACCTGTGCTGTTCCCAAACCAACTCTCATTAAACCAGTGAAGGTATTTACAATTCATCAAGCTGGGAATAGCATTCCAATCTGCCTACCTGGGGGAGGGGAGCACAGCTGTTGGTGTTTGTATTGTCTAAGAAGATAAACCACGTTGCTTGTAAGATTGAGACCTGGGGAGCCTGAGATTAAGAACCTCAGGCTCCCTTAGACTGAGAGAAGAGAGGAATTTTAAAGAGGTGACCACCAGGAGAAGATTTCATTTCTTTATATCACTGGACACATCCAATCATTTCTCCTTTATATCTCCAAACTTCTCTTAGTATTCCAAACCCCATTCTCAGACAAGTCAACGATATTATATTTGTTTAAATAGCTGAAAACAAATCAGTCTTTTGACGTGTCACGGAAGGAAGAGATCAAACTCAGGGTCTGAAGCCTCTGCTTGTGTCTTCCTCCTTTTCACAACAGAGTCCCTCAGTCCCCCAACTCCAAGTGTGGTGACTGACAGCTCATAATTGAATTCTTCTGGAGAGAACAGTTGAACCTAAGCTCACATTCCCATCTTGAAAGTGGCCCACACCCCATCACAGACCAAGGATATAAAGGCTGGAACTGTGACCTGGTTTCAGATGACCACAGTACCAGGATAAGCGATGCAGCTGGTTGGGGTCTTTGTTGTGAATGCCTCACCCACCAGACATCTTTTTTCTTTCTTATTTTCTTTCTTTCTTTCTTTCTTTCTTTCTTTCTTTCTTTCTTTCTTTCTTTC